ATTAAAAGATAAAAGCTGCATGTTATGGGCTTCTCTCTTCTTTCTTTATTCTTTCTTTCTCGCTCGGCTTCCTTTGTGTTTGCAGTCACGCGCGGGTGGTTCCTCTGTGCGCGTTCTACTTCTTTCGGGTTGTCTTTGTCTTTCTCTATTGCAGTTTTGTTTTCGTTAGTACACGTTCTCTCTCTCTCTCTCTCTCTCTCTCTCTCTCTCTCTCTCTCTCTCTCTCTCTCTCTCTCTCTCTCTCTCTCTCTCTCTCTCTCTCTCTTACACGTGCTCTCTCACATTCTCTCTCTCTCTCTCTTACACATTCTCTCTCTCACTCCCTTCCCTCTCTCGCACACTCACTATTTCCCTCACACTATCTCTCTCTTACACCCACACTCTCTCACTCTCTTTCTCAGTATCTCTCGATCGTATAAATCCTGTCCTAATATCCCCTGTTAGTTTGTTTATTGGTTTGTCTGTCAACAGGATATCTCAAAAAGTTACGGACGGATTTTGATGATTTTTTTTGGACGGGTTGGTCTTGAACCAGCAACCAATCGATTAGATTTTGGTGGTGATCCGGATCCAGAAATGGATCCAGGATTTTTTATTTTTTCATTTTTTTACATTTATTTTGTGGACGCATTCAAAATTCATCAAAAAAAATACCGGATGATATATTTTTTTCAAATTTCTGAAAATTTCATCAAACTCTATATTGTGTGTACCAGCAAGATGGGAGGGGGGAGGTTTACTATCTCCGATTGTTCTTGTTAGTTAATGATCGCACCATTGCAACCCTGTGATGTGATTACGGATTAGTGACAACTTCTATCAGGGCTGTTACATAGCTGAGGGACTTCGCCACCGATACGCGCGTGGTCAAGCAATTAACGCGGAGTGACGATGAATCGGGGAATAGGTGTGCCTATTCATGTGTGATCATATTGCACCAAGAGACTAGCAGACATCGTATGATATACTAATTGGTGTAGATTTGTCGGCATGTTATTGATGATGAGCAGCGGTATTATAAATAGCTCGGTTATATATTGACATATAATGTTATTTTGATGATTCCGCTTTGATAGATTGGGCATCAGACATTGATAATTATAGTTTGATCATTGTACGATTGATCAGTATAGAGATTGATGATGAAAGTGTGATGATTAAGAGGTTTCTCATTGGATGTGCTAGCTCGTTGGTGATATCTGTCGCTGCCAGCACCGAAGCTGCCTCCTCCACGCCACTGACTATCAGTCAAATCATTTGCGATGTGTTTTTAGCGTGTCTACTTGGCGCTAATTTTGGCTTGTCGAAATGCACCATGGCAATTTAGTGCGCAACAGCCGCTATCACAAAGTCTTATACATACAGCCAGATTACTGCATCGCAATTAAGTACCATAGTTTGCCGATGTTTCCTAGATTCACAGCACTTGCTGTAGCCACCAGACCATAGTTAATCTGAAAGTCATATAAATCAGGGAACTGGGCAGAATTAACGACACACACACACACACTCACACGCACACACACACACGAACAGACACACACACACACACACACACACACACACACACACACACACACGCACGCATGCACGCAGACACCGCCATCCCCCCGTGTAAAATTCGACAATGCGCATTCTAATCAAGCACTCGCCATCCTCTTGAGACTCACGCCCGGTGGAAAGTTTCTTCTCTTTTGCCGTGTTCGTCATTAGAAGACACTTTTACACAAAACAGCGTAATTGAAAAAACTTTCTTTCGCGGAATACGCGTGACTTGCTTGTTTCGACTTCTTAGGACTGTGCGCAGTGGAAATGCAGTGAATCCGCAGAAATTTCTTTCGGCATTATCAGCACTAGAAAAACTGCTTATAAATGCGTTCTCCTGAATTCTACGTGGATGAAACACGATGAAATATTTAAATCATGCAGGATGAATTTCCTAAGCAGACGCACGTACACCCACACGCATACGTAAACGCACGCGCACACGCACACGCACACGCACACGCACACGCACACGCACACGCACACGCACACGCACACGCCTACATACAGTTTCCTGCTACACGCAAGGTTACCCAGTTAGGAAATTTTGAACGTTGAACAAACGTTAAACGTTGAACGTTGAACGTTGAAGAAAACGTTGAACAAACGTTGCAACGCCTACACGTGTTTCTGTTCCAGTATGGTAGATTTATTAAACATTTTCATAAATTACATTTACACAAATTACATTTCGTGTACTGACAATAAAAGCACGTTTGTGCAGTAAGTCAATAACAAGTTTATAAAACGAAAATATAAGTGTCAAATAACAAACGCAAAAAATAAACTAAAACTAAAAAATAAAAAATAAAAGGCCCGACGGCAAATAGAAGATATTTTCGTTAAAAATAATTGCTGTTTTCATTGCTGTCCCTCATTACTATTGTTATATCGTTATCGTTATCATATATTATCATTATATCATATATTTCATATTATATCATTATATCATATCATTATATCGTTATCATTATATCGTTATAAAGTATCTTCTAGAAATAATTTTCAAACTATGTTTATGCGCAAACGTTAGTACTAGTACAAAACCCCATGTATACTAGTATAAATAAGTTCGTTGTAGTACCAACTATGACTATCATGTACCAGTAATAACACCAGGAGTGTATAACATAGATCACGCTATAGATTAGAATTCGACTATAGATTAATCTATATTAGACACTCACGATAACACTAAAAATAATTCGAAAACAACCGTATGTACGCACCATCTGCTCTTGGTACACTCGTACAAGATATGTTACAATACAATATGAGGTTTTTACAATAGAAGACGCATAAACAGCGAAATAAACAAACGGTCCGTCAGTATGTAATGAAACATAATCAAATCGCGCATGCGCGTAGCCCATGCCAATTGCCCGCCGTTGCGGCAGCTGGACAGGATAGTTTTGAAATCTCAAAATTAACTACAGACTTAATCATTAGTATCACACATGCAGTGTATTCTAGAATTCAGACATGCACTCAGCAGATATGCTGAATACGGCTGTAAGCTATCGCTTCGCCATCGCCAATCGGTGTGCAATAACAAATTTACATGTAAAAATTAATTGACCACAAATCTTAACCAGAGTTCACAACACACCCGAAAAGATATGAGCGTAGACTTAATCGTCTAATATTCTTAGATCGTCAATTATCTAATGGTAATTGTCAATAATATAATTAATCATTGATCGTTGATAATAATCCTGTAAGATTGATGACTAAAGATAATCAAAGATGAATGAATAGCAACATGATAATTTATCTATTGGCAATTCTTAGTTATTTTAGTGACATTAAGTTGATGGCTTGCACTGCCCAGCCGCTTCGTCCTCATCTGACCCCGTTTGTCTGAAAAATAGTGAGACGCCTGTTAATTATTAAATATACGAGCACCCGATGTAGAGTTTCAATAATATGTCGATGATAAACGCTCCGTGATGTTAAGCTGTAAAATCAACGAATTATTTGTTGCACCATATAATATTTGTTTGGTGTAGTTTTGATAGTTTAACAACGATAGACCGAGGCTACATGTTACATTACTAACTTGTCAAAGTACAAATCGAACTTCATTTAAATTGTATAAAGACAGTGGACGCGATGTGCAAGCGCAGCTATAACGCACAGTTGTCCTGACAGGCTGTAAACCATATTATTAATAAAACTCATATACTTGTGATTTTGAAATTTAATGTCAGAAAGCCTATTTAATGCACACCCGGCGGCTGTAGCGCCACCGTCGCAGAATTTCATTCGAAACTTTACCATTTCTTGTGTTCGATCTTCAAATCTTCAGCTGCGGCACAAAACATCTAATAACATGCAAGTGACGTGTAGGGGCCTACATACCGCAACATAGAGACGTTTGCGGAGTAGTATTCATTTTCAAACGAGTTAGATGCTAGGTAAGGTCCGTAGTCCTTAATCTGATCTAATCGCCGCTTGATATCAGCGAATGTTGGGCGACAGACGGAGCGGGAGTGCCAACACGCTAACATGATGTCATGACTGCAACATGGAAAGGTAGCATGCAATCAGGTCAAATAAAAACAAAATGTGTTTTTATCTTATTTGATTTCATTGATTTGATGTTTTGATTTGTTGTTATTCACACCCGATGTAGCAAATATTTTGACATTTACACAAATATAGTTCGAATCTTTGTATGTATGAGAATCTTAATTAATTGGTTAATTTTTTATCCCTTTTATTTATCGCTCTACCAATTTATTCATTTGCATATGGATTAACTAAATAGTTAATTAATTTTTATTTGTTTATTATTTAATCATTTTTTACATCATGAATTTCATATCAGTGTACAGAATTGTTCTCCTCAAGGGGTCTGACCGTGTCAGGGACCTGAGAAGATTTGTGCGCAAAAGTTTACTGCGTATAGAATTTCATATTGAGGAACCTGAGGCTATCCATTTAGCAGAAGGTTTGTAATCGAGTTTTTATGGGTCACCTCTCTTTCTGAGCCGGTTGTAATAATGAAATCTTCCATCGATCCTCCTTCACATGCATTATATCCTGTTTTTCAGTGTACCTCTGCCGTAATATCGCATCCGTTGTATTACATATCTTATATGAACGTGCTTCTTACTAGGATTCAATACTGTCTGTTTTTTTCAATGACAACGAATTATACGCGAAAGAAAGGTAATACTCAATTTTAGTTTGCTCAATTGTACAACGTACATCCCGTCGCTGATGTATGCCGTAACTATGATAGGTATATCAATATCAGCAATATGCGACCAGCCATCCTATAGAAGCATATGACAATATGCTACGTGCCTGTATGCAATGCGTATTCAAACAGATTTATACCCAAATCCTAATAATGTATTTATATCATAAAACGCGTATATGCAAAAAGAGTTGAACTAATTAGGTGTAAATTAAATATGCTTTATTGGACCATTCATAAGATATCGCACACTATTTTCATGATGAGGAATAGGCATATTATCAGCTATAGCCATGTCCAAACGTATATTGCATATCCAAGCGTAATTGTTATCCAGTCAATATTTTGCGTGTTGAAAGGAATGTTCGTTATGTTCGTATAGACGAAAAGACTCATGTAAGCGCGTGTAGCGTTGTCTGCTAACAAGTACATTAGTGCGTACGTTAATCCCAATACTCATCTAACAAGCTGTAATCATGATAATCATCGCAGTTATAGCACGATAATGAGATACATTATTACACTAATCATCGTATTATTTTACGATGATTACGTGAACATACTCTTGCGCTGAGGTGCTTACACTAACCCTTACTGGTATAAAAGCTGCTTACTGGTATATTACTGGTACAACTGATCTTACTGGTATATAAGGCGTCTGCAAGTGTATGGAGTGCGGTGTGATGCGCTGTATAGTGCATTCGGAGCGCAGCACCACCTACACGATACATTGCATTTGCCGCTCATATGCGTTTCGGCAGCGTGTACAATTAGGTTATCGAGCGCGTAAGCGAGTATTCTTCCTCCCTGATTCACGTCTAGATGCGACTTACATAGACAAACATCAATGTATGCAGCGTCGAGCTAATTTATAAACATGAGTTATTTACATAGAAGCGCGCGAAAGGTCACCTTGGCGCCACGACCTAGCTGTCATTCGTGACGTATGAAACCGCCCGCTGCTTCCAGCCTGTTCTGCTAGCATCTATGACAAATACGACATACGCATATATACGCTCTCCTATGACACTATTTGTCATAGAAAGATTCTTCCTATAACAAATATTGTTGTATGTGTTGTGCGTATCATAGGAGTTTAGGAGCGCCGGACATGCGATATCAGTCCGGAATGTTGTTGATTAGTGGGGAGAGGGAGGGGAAGGAAGGGAGAGAGGAAAGGAGCAGAAGGGATCGAGACTCGTATATGCAATCATATATATTCATATTCTTCATTTTAAATGCATAACCTTTGCAAACTACAATTTTTCTCGGGAGATATTGCGCATGCGCGCGCACCGTGTTAGGCGCAGGCGACAGATATCCACATCCAAGTATGGCTTTAGGCCTACTCGTCCCCCGCCGGTGGCCTCTAGCCCCCGTCAGCTCACTCCGACAATAACCCTTCCGCGACCGAAAATAGTTCTTTCTTTAGTAATGCTAAAACAAGTTACTATGGTATATGCCGATTGTATCACCCATAGGCATAGATATAGCATTAAATAGGAAAAAACAAGACAAGCGCCAGTGCAGCACTCGGTAAGTTATTAGTAGCACGTTATAGTGTTGCCGGCGTTATATTTGTATGACGGGGGTCTAAGGCCACCTATATAGAATTGTAATAATAGTGTATGATGGGGGCCCAAGGCCACATATATAGTATTTGTATGACGGGGGCCTAAGGCCACCTATATAGAATTGTAATAATAGTGTATGATGGGGGCCCAAGGCCACATATATAGTATTTGTATGACGGGGGCCTAAGGCCACCTATATAGAATTGTAATAATAGTGTATGATGGGGGCCCAAGGCAACATATATAGTATTTGTGTGACGGGGGCCTAAGGCCACCTATATAGAATTGTAATAATAGTGTATGATGGGGGCCCAAGGCCACATATATAGTATTTGTTTGACTGGGGCCTAAGGCCACCTATATAGAATTGTAATAATAGTATATGATAGGGGCCCAAGGCCATAATATATAGTATTTGTAGGGCGGGGGCCCAAGCCCACCCATATAGTATTGTAATAATAAAATAGTTTATGAAAGGGCCCAAGGCCACATATATAGTATTGTATATGACGGTGGCCTAATGCCATCTACATAGTATTGTAGTATAGTGTATGCTGGCGGCCAACCAAGGCCACATATATAGTATTGTGGATGAAAAGGGTCTAAGGCCTCCTATACAGTATTGTGTGGTAAGCCTTGGTTGTAAGCTATACCGACTCCAGCAAAGAAAAGTAGGCTGCATTACTTGCACAGTGTATAATTGCGCCAGCGGGGCCCTAGGCTCCCGGGGGCTTAAGGCCACACTTGGATGTGGATATCTGTCGCCTGCATACACAGCGGGGACCTTACATGCAAGGTCTTCCTCCTATTTATTAAATGATGTCTATTGATGGAATGTTATCATATAAATCTATGCTAGGATAACTCCTCTTCATTGCAAATGCATAATCTTTGCAAAATATGATTTCTCTCGGGAGATATTGCGCATGCGCGCGCACCGTGTTAGGCGTGCAGTGCCGTCTGAGGCACACTTCATAATACAGCTTGCTGTGGGAGAGAGGGGATGGGAGACTGAGGAAAGGCTGCAGGGAAGATAGCTGGGGGCGGTAGAAGAAGAAGAAGGCTGAGTGAGGGACAGGGGAGGCAAGGGGAAGGACGCGAGGGAATAAAGAAGGTGTTTTGTACCCTACATGCTAGGGCGCTCTCCTAATTATAAACACAGGTCTACTGCTGAGATGCCACCTCACCATTCTAAATGCATATTCATCACAAAATATAATTTCTCTGGTGAGATATTGCGCATGCGCTAATACACTAACGTAGCCAGATTGTGTACTGGCTGGTATACGCAGCCGGGACCTAACATGCAATGTCTTCCTCCTATTTCTTAAATGATGCTTACTGATGGAATGTTATCATATAAATATATTCTAAGATAACTCCACTTCATTTTCAACGCATAATCTTAGCAAAATACGATTTCTCTCGAGAGATATTGCGCATGCGCTAATACACTAACGTAGCCAGATTGTGTACTGGCTGGTATACGCAGCCGGGACCTAACATG